GTAAACACTTAGTCAACAATAACATACCCTCTTCTTAAATTAGCAATTTATGTAATTTCAGCTAGATAAGGCCAGCTCTAAATTCAGGATCAACTACACAAAACTAAAGAGCTGACAACATACCAGGTTAATGTCCTGTAGAACTGAATCTAAGCAGCTCTTACAAAAGAATCACAAGTCACAAATCACCAAATTTACCACAGTCCAACCGCTCTGACACTTTTAGCTGACTCTTCTTAAATCTTTCAGGACTTAATGGCCTGGATAAGATTCTACCTACAGACAAAGCAGTTTCTTGCTAAGACTTGGTCAGGCTCTTACTTCTCATTACCCTGGTATTTACTAATGCTACCACACCTCACCCTCTGTATTCACACTTTTTTTGCCACACCACTGCTTTGACAATATCCCTACTGCCTGAGCATCTCTCCACTCTACCAAGCTAAATCCACCTCATCATGTCCAGACTTTAAAAGTCCATCAAGACACCAAAGCCTACCTCCAAATTAGCTGATAATATCAGCCTTATACCACTAGATACCAGCAGTATTATTAGATTTAGAAATGGGACCTCTTCCAGTATTCTTCCATAAAATCTCAATGCTCATTTATCACCCATATGTCTCAGTAATACACCTCTTCATCCAGTTTCAGAGCACTTATGTTCTCCTTTCCCTGCTGAAAACCCCACCTAACAGCTGATTAATGCTGTGTCTCCCTTCATGCTTCCCAACAGTTGTGACTTCACTTGGATTGAAAGATTTCCATCGTGGGAACTTGCTTTCTTTTGGGTAGGGAGAGCGGATACTCTGTATAGCTTCAACTGCACAGCAACAAGGACATGACAAATGGTGCTGGCAGACACAATAACAGAGACCACAGATTACATTTATGAAACAAACTACTATTTTAAACTAAGGCACTTAACTGCTTATGTACTCCTATCTCAATGGTAGAGTTGAATCTACAGGAAAACAGCCACTTTTCCAGAACTTTAAAGAAAGACTGGTGAGATCTGCCAAGTTATGAGAGTCAAAAACTCTCTAAGAAAATAGTAAGTGGCGCACCCAAAATTGAAAAATCACAGCATCTGTCCTAAAAAACTAAGAAAGGAGCAATACCAATGCAATACACAGTGCACTATAACACAAACCCAAGTCCTTTCCACGTATACAGAGCAAGAGAATTTGTTGCCCTGCAGAAGCCGACATGTTGTGAGCCGAGCTCTGTGCCCAGGCAGATCCCGCCCGGCATGCGTACGCAGCTCCAAAGGAAAGCTCACAGGGCAACTCGAGTGGCTCCCCTCCCCTCGCTGCCCATACAATCCTGCCTCCCTGGTGGCAAGCAGCCAAGAGGCGGCTTGTCTGAGCATGCTTCATGGTATACAAAAAGTCACCAAGAGCCTCAGTAAGTTCCTGGCATCTAGGGGCAAGTCTTGCCTTTTACTAGAGGGTACTCTGTTACTCGCGTCTTGAAGAGCGCCTTCAGGCTTTTCTCAAAACACAGCCTTGGTATATCCAAAGTTTTGCATGGGCACATGGAACGTCTTTGCCTCTCCATCTGTAGGCTCAAGGCTCAGCAGATCAAATCTACGATCAATCGCTGCCTCTGTGCACTCTGCTGCCTTCCCTGTCAAACATTTCATAACTACTTGTTTCAGTGGGAATACTGCTGGCTGCTTAAAATTTTAAGCAGATCAATTAGGGCTACATTAAAGCATATTTGGCAAGTACTTGAGTTACATGCAATAACAATTGCTCTATTCTAAAAAGTGATCAAGTAAAAATAGCATCTTCTTACTCATGTGCCCTGTTCTGTGTGCATCACAGTCATATGCTAGCTTTTGCTATTCAGAGACAAAAAGCAGGCATGGGAGATAACCGTCCAACCTCTAACAGTCTTTAGAAAACTTCTGCGTGTCAAATACCGGCAAACACACAAGCTCCATTTTATCTATTTATGCCACAGACTTAGCTACACAATGCTAAGAGGTAAATTCACACAATCCACCT